GATTATTTTAAATATAGTAAATTAAACCAGTTTTTTAAAAATTTACTATTTCTAATACATTTTTTTATTTAAGGTTTTAAAATATTTTCCTCATACAAAAACTATATAGGAAAGTATATATTTATTATAACAAAATCATTACGATTAATGTTGGCCTTGTTCAAAATCAGTGCAATTACAGAATAAGGCAACCGAACCGATAGGGAATTTAAAACCAATTTTATTTGATATTTTTTATGACATCTGACAGCTGTCAGGCAGTTTTAACGTCACTTTTTTCCTATTGTAACGTAAAGCCAACTTCAGTCCGTGGCCATGCGTGGGCGAAGTAAAATTTAGCTCACTGGGTTAAGCCTAAAAATGAAATGGTTCTATAAACGTCAGCAATAGTATAATTTTTAACGCATGTTGTCTCGGTTTAAAAAGTTTATCACTCGTGCGCCTGCATGAGATGTTTCATCCTGTTCTTCTGCGAGAAATTTTTCAAAATCTTCCCTGGTCATTATCCTTCACCCTTTCGCTTCAAAAAAACAACAAGCCTATAATATTTTTGTATGTCCTGATTCTTAATGTTCATCAACGCCGTCAACTTGAAATAATTCACTTTTCAATGAACAACATTTTTTAGATCACACCATCTCACGAAATGATTGTAAGTGGCTTTATTCACAGCTTCTTCGATTGCCGTCAGGAGAAATTCATTTTTTTGATCACTTTCCATACCCAAAAGTTACTTGTCAATAAACATTAGCAACAGTAAACTTGTTTTGATGTCTTTTGAGGAAAAGCATTATTAAAAAACTTAAAAATAGGTACACTTAAAAGCAGCAAATTTAATATTAATAGGATAACATTCATTTAAAAATGAGCAGTCTTGAGTCTCTAAGTTATTGTAAAATAATAAGGTTTCTGACATAGAAATAGGACGATATATTACAGGTTTAGGTTTTGCTTTATCACAGTTTATGTTTAGTTCTACGGAAACAAGTTTATGATCAGAAATAGAGATGGAACCTAACTTTAAGAACGTCAAAGAGTGTCTCATTTTTGGCCTGGAAATTGACACTAGAATTAGTTAAAAAAGATACGTATATAGAATCTACTTGGTAGATAGATTGTTAAAAAGTATATAAATGCTATTTATTAAAAATTATCTTAAACACTAAAGTAATCGCGCGCAAAGATTTTGTTTCAGAAATAAAGTAACATATTAAGTTGAAACTTGTTTTGTTTTTAAATACAGAATATTAAAACTTTAAACATAAATATTTACCTTCTGGTTTTATATTTATATTTTTTTAAAAATAATTATTTGAATGCTAAAAGACCTTTTCTCCATGTTGGGCTATATTGGATTGTGTAGTATACAATGTATAGGTATAAGCATTAAGGCATGTTAAATCTGTTCAAAATTTTAATAGTTTTAAATTGAATGGTTTTAGTTATTTAGTTAAAATGGAGCCATGTGATCTTAATGAATTCCTCCTTTTTCCCGTGACAATGTTTCCAGTAATTTTGTATTTTTATCACTGGCGTAGCTAGCCTCGAACGGGGCCCGTTTAAAAAATCTGGTAGGGGCCCTTATATGGGAAAAGCTGATGGCAAAAAAAATTCGCCAAAAGCCTATTTTTGGCAAACAAAAAAAAATTTTAGGTTATCATTTTTTTGTATTTGCCAATTTTTTATAATTTAATAATTAATATACCTATGTATACATAGCTTTTTATGTACAGACAAATTTTAAAATTTGGTCTGGTTTTAGACATTTACCGTTCTTCAACATTTTTTAAACGGTTTCTATTTTAAAATAAAGGCGAGTCATTTAAAATAATTGTAACGCTAATAATTATTTCTAAATTGCTGTTAATATAACCTATGATAATAACACGCAAAGCAGACTCAAAGTTCACGGCCTCGTTGGAGCAGGAGGGTACACAGTAAAAAAATATTTGTTAAATTAAACCAAATAATAACCAGATTTTATGTTAATCCAGGTCCACATAACTTGTTAAGTTTACAACCAACTGTAATCTGTTAACTAATTGAATAAGTAGTTTGTAATTATTACAGATATTTTGTAGATTTAATAACAAAATTCTATGTCAATTTCAACCATAATTCTTGTATTTTTTACAAACTTTTATGTAGATCCAGTATCAAAAGTATTTGTTATAAATTGGGAACTTTAAAAAAGAGAATTTGTTATAAGAAATGTTGCTTTACTAAACAATTTTCTAAATAAAACATAATTAACACATACCTACACAAATGAACACAAAAATAACATACACAAAATTAAATAACACACCATTCTGAAATCATCAGAGATTTGGTACAATATAACTATCAGTACTACTAAAACACTTACTGATTTACTTTAACTTCACTATATCGCCTAATTTTAATTTGAAAACCAATAATGACATTATAAACACTCCTGTCACCGTTAAATATTATAAACACCCGTTGACGCTGACACTGTATACATAGCTTTTTATGTACAGGTAAATTTTAAAATTTGCTCTGGTTTTAGACATTTACCGTTCTTCAACATCTTTTTAACAGTTTCTATTTTAAAATAAAGGCGAGTCATTTGACATAATTGTAACGCTAATAATTATTTCTAATTTGCTGTTAATATAACCTATGATAATAACATGGAAAGCAGACTACAAGTATGCAGACTACAAGTATGCCGCGCAGAGCACAGAACAATATGCGCAGACTGCGCCGCAGACAACGAATAGCGGAAAGGTGCGGGCAGAAACAATTCGTATGAGTTCACGGCCAAAAAAAAATTATTGTGAAAGTTTGAGTCCATAATATTAATATTAAGAGGTCTATCATCGCAATTTTAATTTTTTTCCCTCATCAAGTTTTTGTCTCAGAACTCCCAAACCATTGGGTTTAACAAAATTTACTTAAAAATATTTAAGTATTTAAGAAAATTAAATGCTCTACAAAAAAGGTAAAATGAAATTTTTTGTCAGATGAACCGTTTCCTTAAAATCATGCCCTAAACATTGGTATAGTTTTACATTTTGATATTTTAACTTTGGAATTTTAAAAAGGTTTTGTTGTAATTTTCATTTATATATATTTTTTTGCAACTTTGCAAAATTAATGCCTGTTTATTATTATTACCTTACGTTGATTGCAGTTCTATATTTTTACAAATTATAATTTTAATTTATAATTTAGAAACTTTGTAATCCAGGGGACACAGTGCTACATAATAGACACGCTCTGTTGTGGCAAAGAATATAAGTTTAAATGTACCTTTAGCAAAAAAAAACAGGCTACGATTGTATATTGTATATAATAATATATTATATATACTTATAAGAAAACCTCCTATGACCCTAAATATTATTCATATAAAAAATAAAGATACATTTTATCTTTAATTTAAATTTACAGACAAGTAAAAAGTTTATTATTTAAAATTATTACTATACCTATAACAAATAAAAATTAATTAAATCCACAAAAAGAGCTGAAATAATTGTGCTCACATCATGCTTTTCGTGACTGTGAAATGCCTTTGGTAGTTGAATTTCTTTTAAATATTGATGGATTTTTATTAAAAGCAATCAATCAAGCAGGCCATCTAATGAGCTACCGTACAGAGACACCGAACATCGTCGCTTTAAAGAACAATTTTATGCTGAAAGCTCAAAATTCATCTAAATTAAATATTTTTCATATTACTTTATTAACACTCTCTTTGATTTTATATTTTAAAAATTCTTAGTTATATTTTAATGTAGAAATTATAAGGCAATCTTTTTTTAAAGAAAATAAAACTGCAATGTTAAATAAAAGTTGAGCCACGTTATAGTATACTACGAGTATGTATCAAGTTTAATAAACGCCATTTTATACACGAATTTAATTTAGGAACGAGCGAGTGAGTGCTTAAATTAATGAGTGTATAGAAAAGTTTATAAACGAGGTGCATACTATACTTTTTCTACGAAAAATACTTATTATTATCTTAAAATGATTTAAATCAAAAAATTGTATAGAGCGCCGTCTATGAAACAATAGGGGAATCTGTGTGTCACCGTCAAATGTCACATTTTTATATTATAAACACAGATTATAAAGGTTATAAATTGAAATGTATTTTTTAAAAATTGACAGTTTTTCACAGTGAAAGTAAAGAAAATGTTTTATGAGGACTTTACAGTGGAGCCCGTGCCCGAATTTAAGTTATAGTTTACTGCCGGCGAAATTAAAAGGTCAGTACAATGTTCATATAAACTTTTCAAATATTGGCGTTGAGAAACTATTTAATACTTTTGTATTTTTGTATTGAGATAATAAAATAATTTTCACATTTAGTATTATTTTACAAGAAAGGCACTTTATTTTAACGATTGTATGACATTTGACAACTGTCAACTAACTTAAAACTAACTTCAGCCCGTGACTAAAAACCTGTTGCTAACTTCAGCCCGTGACTAAAGCGCCATAAAGCCACAACTTGTCAATGTGTATTTAAAAGGTCACTTAGTGTCATGGAAACATGTACGATAAAGAGCGTTTTAAAGGTGGGAGTAGAAAAAATTAATTAAAGAGTGTTCGTTTTTTAGATTTACTATTCTTCTTAATTCAAGTTTATAATGGTGTTTTAAAGTAATTAATAAAGTTTACAATCTATAACTTTTGGTAAGTAAAAAATTCTAAAACTAAGAATTAATGTAAATATAACACATGTCCACAAAACAAATGATATTGCAGCATTTTTTCATATTTTTATTTTAATCTAACGCGTTAGAATAACAAGTGTAATATTTTACATATGAAATAAGTTTATTTCTTTGGGCTTGACACCTGGTTTTATAAATGTGTTTTAAAGGTTAAGTAAACAAAGACTAAGTAGTTTTTTGTTATAAAATAAAAGACGATGAAAACAAAATCAAAATTTATTAATTAAAATAAACGTAGTTTATACAGTAGGGACTAATATTAGTATTATCTCATTATGTCAATCTATCGTTTTGTTTACTTACAAAAATAAAAATTACTTTTTTTACCAAGAAAACGTTATTAATAAATATATAGGATATACAATAATAAACAATATTTGTGAATTGGTATTATTACACTATGCATTTGCTACTATTTATCATTATATACAATGAATCAATTCTTCTTATTATTAAAGTATATTACCTACAGCTCTAATGGCGATGAATGTTTAAAAAATTCTAATAACGAAGAATTAATTGTATTATAAATAATAGGTAATATTAAATGCGATATGAAGGGGTTTCAATAGTATAGTTTTGGTCACAGGTTGAACTACTCTCGCGCAAACACAAACTCGTTATAGTGGTTCCAGCGATTCTCCTCCGCATCCACTCCAGGTTTAAGTTCAGCTGCTCCCCCAGCTGTTCCGGATCCGCAGCTGCCCACCAATTTAAATCCTTGCTCATACAAATTGTCAAAAGCCTGTTCCAAGAACGAATGTTTTAAGAAGAATCGAGAAGTGTACCGTTCCGATTGCCCGTGATCAGGATCTCTACTCTCGTTGAGCGATTCCCCGAAGACCTCTCTGCACAGTGCCACTCTTCCGCATACCAAAATCCTCGACAGCTTCCTGAACTTGACGTCCGCCAATCCATCTTTGCCGAACTGGAAGCTGCCTCTGTATCCGACGGTGATGACACCTGGCTGTTTCATTCTGCCCTCGTTGCATATCGCCTCGACCAGATTGTGCAGCAAAAGTTTTTCGGCCTCCTTTTTTAGCCGTTCTCTCTCACGAAAACAATCTGGCAAGATCACGTTGCCATCGCGCAAAAAATCCAACACATATCTAAACAGCACTCCGTCGCGATCTAGGAAGTAGCGGCCCTTTGAGTCCTGCGACACGGGCTCTTTTCCCGTAAAAATGTTGTGCAACTGCGAATCCGGCTGGCTGGTAATCGTCTGATGTGTTGTGGTGTAAAATACGCCACCAACGTTCAGTTCAAGAACAGAAGGGAACCCGGATCCGTCCGACATAGTTACTGTCAGCCTGCGTGGCCCAAACTGGGCTTCGGAGGCGAACGCGCCATCCCCTCCACTACAAACACCCTACTACCGTGACATTGTCGGAGTCGATACGGGGTGGAATAGGAAGTTTACGTTAAAAGCTCGAGATAAAATGTGCGGAAAGGCGATAGATTTGCAAATGTGTTTCCTCACATAATATTTATAAATCTCCTAAATTTTGACTTTAATTAAAATGTCTAGTTCTTCAAGATTTGCCGACTGCAACAATTTTATTATTTTAAATTATTTAAAAATAATGTTGTTCAACATTGTGAAATGTGTGAATGCTTCTTTTAAATTTTATTTGAGGCGAAGATATCGTCAAATAATCTGACGTATATCCTGCAAAATTTCAATTTATATAATAGCAACAAATATTATTACTTTATCTATCACTATGTAAAACGTCAAATTTTGTACAGCTGACCACCTAAATAAACGTCACTTTAGGCAGTTATTATTGACTATTCCACTCATTACTTTATGGACCAGAAAACGAATGGTTTTTTTCAGTTTTGCAGCGATAAAACTACTATTTAGGTAAAAAAAAACCACTCGTTTATACGAGTTGCATAGCAACCAGCTAAAAATAATTGTCACTGTTGGCGTTTTTAATTTTAAAATTAAAATGTTAAAAAATATGCGTTTTGTTCAAAAAAATCAATACAGAAATTGAATCAGCAGTTAAAAATATTCGTGAAATAGTCTTGTCACTTGCCACTCATGATAAAATTTTCCCTGAAATTTTTTTTTTATTTTTATTTACTCAAGATTTTTCCTTGGAAATTTCGCTCGTGGCATTAACTTAAAACCACTGGCCTAGCGGCTCGTGGTCCTCCTCGACTCAGATTTTTGTTGCCACCAGCACTCATGCTTTTTGTTAAAATATTACTTAGCAACATGTTTTTTCGATTTTTTTCGGAAAAATTAAATGCCCTTATGATATTACTTGATATTACACGGTGCTGTTCTGAGAGGTGATTTTTGGACTTTCTGTGAAACCTAATTTTTTTTATATTCTTGTTAATTAGGTCATAACTAAAATTTTAAGAGCAAAATAAAAAAAAATTGACGGTTAATTTTGTTTTAATTGGATGTTTATTAAAAATATGTATGCACACTTTCAATTCTCCAATTAAAACGGGATTTTATTTAAATATTATCATAACTTTTTAAATCAGATTAAAGATTAGTTAATTTCCTAAAAAAAGGTCTATACATTTTTTATATCTTTTACTGTTTTGTTGAAATATACGTTTAAAGTTTTAATTAAAGGTTAAATGCTAGATATTGCCAAGACATGAAAGTTATCGGCCCGATAAACTTTACTAAAGACGAATAAACCGGTCCTTAGTTAAATTTCATGAATTTCTTCGTAACTTTTACTACAATTTTTCATTTTTGTTTATAAAAAAAACTTTAAAAAACTAAACAAAAGTTATAGAATACTTATATTGAAAATGACAATTCAAACGTCAAATAAATTTTTAATAGATCTAAGTTTCATGGCAACCTTTAAGGATATATTAATTAAGGGAACATAAATGTATACTAGGGTGTCCGTTATTTGGGCGATGTGCGAATTTTTTTGCTCGCACCCCCCAAAAAGTTGTAGTTTGGGGAAAAAAAATTTTTGGTAATTTTTTTAGATTTTTTTTTTTTAATTAACCCGTGCCGCAAGAGGGTTAAAGATTTAATTATTGTTAAAATATGATTAAATTTTGCCTTTCACTATAGGGTTACCACTCCACGATTTTTCAATGAAAAAAGTCTGTCGAGTGGTTTTCTTATAGTTCAAACACCGCTGAACCCGAATCTGAAATTCGTTTTTTTTTCATTAATCGTTTTTTTAGAATAGCCTGTGTCGGGAGTAGGTAAAATCGCAAATCGGATGAAAAATAGGATTAGGCTCTTTTCACATTCAAAGTCCTGTAACGTCGCCAGTTTTCAATAAAAAAATCTGAAAATTGGTATACTTATGGTTTTGACATCGCTGAACTTGAATCTGACATTTTCATTGATGACAGCTGTCAAAATATCTGTCAAAAATTCCAAAAAAAAACGGTTTTTTTATTAAAAATGCCCATTTTATGGTTATTTCATGCGCTGAATCTGAATTTGATGTTAAAATAAACTTTTTTAATAATTGACAACTGAAATTTGTTCAGGCACTCTTCAATTATGAGGAAATCAACACAAATGTTTCAAAAATTGCAAGAAAAAAATTCGCGCACACCTTTGGTACTTGAGTCGGCATCGATGGCGTTCTTCGATGAGCAAATTCCAGAAGACATTAAAAAGAAAATGGTGGAGAATTTGCGAATCTATACCGCTTCTGAAAACGATTTTTCGGAAATAGTCTTGCCAAAAAAGTATGAAATTTCCTAAGCCAATTTGGTGTCCTTGAATGACAAGAATATCGATTTTTTCATCAAACCTGAATCAAAGGGTTTAATATCGATACTTCTTTCCTCCATTGCAATGTTTCAGATTGGAAGTTGAACGAAAATTCGAAAATCGTTTCCCAACTAAAAGTCGTCAACGATGTTGCAGAAAGGGGTGTCAAATTGATAACCGAATATAAAGATAGATTGACTTATGACGAAGAACAGAAACAATATGTCGTTGAAGTTGTATAGAGAATTATCAAAAACAATTCAAATACTCTACAAAAGCTTGTTTAATTCAGAATATTTAATCTGTCTTAGATCATCACCGAAACAGTTCGATATGGTTGTTACGAATGTAAAAGAGTAGACTTAAATACTAATAACTTATATAATAAACATTTTTATAAATTAAAATGCACTTTGAAGTATTTATTTTCATAAAACCAACATCCAAATCACTCAATAAAATGTACAAATGATTGAACTGTCAAATTTCGAGTTCCAAACATAATTTTACAGTTAGTTTACAACTGTCATACATCAAAACTAATATACAATAAAAATATTGTAAAAGTCATTAAAAAATGAAATTTTTATTTTAAAACAAATGTTGATAGTCAATTGACAGCTGTTTGACAGTTGTCAATTATTAAAAAAGTTTATTTTAACATCAAATTCAGATTCAGCGCATGAAATAACCATAAAATGGCCATTTTTAATAAAAAACCGTTTTTTGGGATTTTTGACAGCTATTTTGACAGCTGTCATCAATGAAAATGTCAGATTCGAGTTCAGCGATGTCAAAACCATAAGTATACCAATTTTCAGATTTTTTTATTGAAAACTGGCGACGTTACAGGACTTTGAATGTGAAAAGAGCCTAATCCCATTTTTCATCCGATTTGCGATTTTACCTACTCCCGACACAGGCTATTCTAAAAAAACGATTAATGAAAAAAAAAAACGAATTTCAGATTCGGGTTCAGCGGTGTTTGAACTATAAGAAAACCACTCGACAGACTTTTTTCATTGAAAAATCGTGGAGTGGTAAGCCTATAGTGAAAGGCAAAATTTATCATATTTTAACAATAATTAAATCTTTAACCCTCTTGCGGCACGGGTTAATTAAAAAAAAAAAATCTAAAAAAATTACCAAAATTTTTTTTTTCTCAAACTACAACTTTTTGGGGGCTGCGAGCAAAAAAATTCGCACATCGCCCAAATAACGGACACCCTAATGTATACGTCAAAGGTTAGATTAAAAGTTTGAACATTTATTGCAACAAAACAGTAAAATATATAAAAAAATTGTAAAAACCTTTTTTTAGTTATGCAAATATTAAATATTTAAATTAAATCGCTAGTTTTAATTGGATAATTGAAAGAGTGCATAATATTTTTAATAAACAGCCAATTAAAACAATTCAAACCGTCAAATTTTTTTTATTTTGCTTTTAAAATTTTAGTTATGACCTAATTAACAAGAATATAAAAAAAAATTAGGTTTCACAGAAAGTCCAAAAATCACCTCTCAGAACAGCACCGTGATTATGCTAAAAATAATTGTCACTGTTGACGTTTTTACAATTGAGGGGCCTAGAAATAAAAGGGTTTAAGTGCATTTTTGTTAGTTCTGAGATAAATGGCTTTAAAGTTAACTTGAATTTTAAAATTCTAGAAAAGAGTTTAAAAAGACTGTGTCAATATTTTAGTTTTGTTTAAATAGAAAAAATGATTATAAAGAAAAAGGAATTTTTCAATTTAGCTTTTTTGTTATTTTATTTACAAAAATGTACTTAAATCGTTATGCATGTAAGACAAAATTTAGTGGTAAAATGATTTAAATGCAATTACTGTACTAGAACAAAACTTTATTTTTTAAAATTTGGGTAAGTTTTACAACAAAAAGTATTATTCATAATCAGAATCGCTTGTGCGAACATACGTCCGACGTCTGCTGGCCGACGTCCTATGGCGATTCTATTCCGACGTCGGATCAATGTCAGTAGGGACTAACACTGAAAAATATCTGTGAAAACACGTAATCACTTGACATGTTTTAAAATACTTGTCAAGGCTTTAGCAGCATAGATAATAGCCTATGTTTAGCAGTAAAAGGTGCACTTAAATCGTTTTACCAAAAAAATATTTTAAAATATTTTGAAAGGTTTTTAAAGACGATAAGAAATGGCGCCAGGGAATGTAAAATGTACTTATATAATTTTACCACTAAGTTGGAATATTCTTTAGGTGTGATATTCCGCACTTAGACCATTTATTTAAAAAAGTGCACTTGAACCGTTTTACTTCCAAGCCCTTCAATTAAAATGTTAAAAAATATGCGTTTTGGTCAAAAAAATTATACAGAAATTGAATCAGCAGTTAAAAATATTCGTGAAATATTCTTGCCGAATACCACTCGTGATAAAATTTTCCCTGAAATTTTTTTTGATTTTTATTAACTCAAGATTTTTCCTTGGAAATTTCGCTCGTGGCATTAACTTAAAACCACTCGCCTAGCCGCTCCTGGTCTTAAAAATTAATGCCACTTGCGAAATTTACAAGAAAAAAACATTCGTATAAAAAAAAAATCGGCTGAAGGAC